CATTGCACATCTATTAGCAGCACAGAACCTGGAATGTGTTGTTTATATTCAGGCTTTTAGCTCCAGAGGTGCTGTATATTTTATGGCACTCTTTAAACTACTGAACATTTGCAGCTAACTCTTGGGGGTTTGGCATGCTGAGGAAATCGTTTCTCATTAGCAAAGGCAGTGGATGTATTTCCCTTCCAACTATACTATACGTGCGTAGAGAACATATGGGGAAAAGTGGGTCTTGTGAACATTTCTTTTGTGGATATGGTACATTTAAAAACATATTGAGGCTCTTGCAGACTGCAAGGCAAATATCTTTAATTAAAAGTAAAGGTTCTTAAATGGTTTTGTACTAGGATGCACAGGAAGTCTTTATTTGGTAAAGAATCCTGGACGTTCTTTAAGCCTCTTTACATAACCCCTTTGTGCCTCATTGCTTGCTAGCAGCTGAACACAAACATTTTCCAAATTCCAGCAGTGTCTGACGGTTGGAGGCACGAGTGTATGGGACACACGTATAAGACAAATGACTGAAGTTTCTTATTCTTTTCCAGTTTCGCTTTAAATGGAGCAGCTTTTACATTCAGGTACCTGTACAGTTTCCAGAATGTAACTGCTGCTCCATTTAAGGTGGAACAGAAAATTTGAACAAAAAGTTGTGAAATTTCAACCATAACAAAAAAGCTTTGTAGAGAATCACACGTGAAACAACACGTCACACTATTTTTGCAGGGCCTGAAGGGCTTGTGAAACAATATTGACACACGTTTATCTCTGTATTGTTGATTTTTGTTTTTTACTGTTTTGCACAATAAAAGTTTTTCTGATTAACATAAGTTGTTAAAAATGTTTCTTATTAAAAAGTGAAGGACATCCCAGAATAATAAGCCACTGTTGCTTTATTTAAACCACAAATAAAATGGTTTATTCCAGTATCTAAAATAGTTGCAATACAATCTATATGGATAGATATAGATATAGTTATACACACACAAATATGTGTGTGTTTGTGTACATATACTGTGATTATATACTGAAACTGTCAGAAAAAAATGTAATTATGCTATTATATACATTTTTGACCACTTGGAAGACTTAGACTCTGACACTTTCTTGTAGGCCTGTGTAATCTGTGATTTTGACCCTTTTTATAAAAAAGAAACATATAAATTTTTAGAAAAGATTATATGATATAAAGAATCGTGCATAATATGATCGGGACCATGAACTACCAAGGTAAAAAAAAGTCCATTTTGATTTTAGGTTGAAGTTTTTAATGTAATTTTATGCAGGAACAGAAGGTGCTCTCTGTGGTTCTGAGAGTGACTGCAGGTCTGAGGAGTTCAATGACTTGAGGGAAACTGTGTTGGGGGGCTTTGTTCAGGAACACTCAGATTTGAGAAGATTAGATTTTTTTTTTTTGATGAAACTTGAGGGTCCTGTTGAAAATGCATCTTCCAGCTTCAGGCTAATTGCATTGACCTGTTCCTTTACATCTGCTTGCTCTGGGAGTTTAGCCAGGACATGCTAAAATCAATGATTAGCTCACTTGTAAGAGATGAAATATGTGGAATGTTTATCAGCACATTTCATAGCTCTGTAGACACATGGTGACATAAATGCTGGGCCAGCTTCAACCAAAAGACTTCCAGCCACTTTAGTGCTGCTGCTCACGAACAAAGGCCTGTTTGATGCTGTTTCTCTCAAAAGCAGCCAGCCTTTACTTTTAAAATTCTTTCTGTAAGAAGACTTACAGATGACTTTAGAGAAATCCTAACTTTACCAACCCAGGTCAATCAAAATATACGCTTTATTTGTTCAGATGTGTACAAAAGAAGCATAAACAAACAGGCTTTTGTAAAGCCATTTAAATAGGAATGGGGAGTGTGAGTCTTGGAGTACCATAGATTGCTGAAGTTTAAGGCCGAATTTCATCTAAAACTCCTTATTCAACTCATTAAGGACTTTATAAATAGCTTCTTTAATCAGGTATGTGAGTTGATGTGATGTAAGTTAGTTATTGTTTATTCATCTGTTGTCATCATATCTTCATCAGCATAATGTTGATTTTGCATCTGAGACCTAAACATTGAGCTGGGCCTTTTTTTTGAGCCTGTGCTTGTGATAATTGCATTAATAAGTAAAGAAGTATGATGTGGCCCAAAAAACCCCAAGAACTCTGATTTGTGAATTATTGTTTCAGGCTTTACAGTTTGTGAATATACTAACAAAAAAAAAAATAAACAATCTCACATAGTGCAGCTTTAAATCCTACTTGAAAATGAAAAGAGGTCCAGTAAGTGAGGGCTGACTGATCTCCATACAGCTGGATTTCTTCCAGACATCACAAGTCTGCGCTTTGTCTTCTGGAGCAAGAACAGATGCATTGCGCTTGTCCTTCCTGACCTCTAGAAGTAACCCTATCGATCCTCCTCTCAGAGCAGTGCTGAAGGAGCGTCTTTCAGGCAGCACTCATTCACCTTAAACCATCTCACTTTACACGCCATTTTAACATTAAGACAAGATGTAAACAAAGTTACTCAGAGTTTGTTTGATTATGTTAATGAACAAATGTCTGAGTTTATTTCAAATGCAAATTGGATGCATTCTACACTGCATTCTGTGTTGTGTTTGAAACTGGTGCACAAGCCTCAAACTCAGCTTACGGAAAAAAAACATAGAATGCACTTCCCTTCCTTGTAAAAGACTGCATACAATATGTTTTCACAGTGGTCATTTCCTGTTTTTTGAAAAAGAGGTTAAAATGATGTATTGCATTTTAACACTACTGTTGTTAATGTACATAAGTACAATGTAAATCCACAAAAACAAGTGATCACCTTTATTTTACACTTCTGTGTGTATTTTAAAAGTTGTTACTGTTATTATGATGGTAAAATACTGTATGTCAGATTAATCAGTTTACCTAGTGAAACTGTTGAATTACAGTAAACTGCAGCATTTCTAGGTAATGAAATGATTGTAATTTTACGGATTTTTACCATCATTGAGAAAACATACTTTTACTGTTTTTTAACACCCATGCTGCCAGTCTTTTTTTGTTTTTACAGTGCATATTGGAAGCATGGCTGATTACATATTTCACTTGATATACTAAGGTTTGAGCAACTAGCAGCAGTTGGGTTGAAATTTTTATACAATGTAAAGTATAGCTGCTGTAGTCAAACAATGTAGAAAAATAAACATCTTAGAAAATGGAGATTTTTATTGTTGAGTACATCAACAATATTTAAAAAGAACTGCACTGCAAAGAACATTTTGTATGATATACGTTGGTGGGAGTGGCTTCACACATACAAAAATATGTGTGTTATATTATGCTTACCACTTTTATTAGAATAATAAAAATGCTTTTTTAATTATGAGTCAGCTATTATTCTTTTCAAAAACTGGTTATATCCAAAATTATTAACACTTTGCAATGTATGTACGCTGGCTTTACTAATGAACTCTTAAAGAACCCTTTAGCAGTAGCCTTTGTGTAGTGTAGTCTTTGTCTTTGTCGCTGCTGAGAAGTGTAGGACACAGTATATGTAGGCAGTATATAAAGCAGGCAGCTCGAGGAAATTGGTCCATGCTGTGGCCCAAAAGTTTATTGCCTCTCTGTGATATATCCTGTTGGGTGGCTGCAGTGTGGGTGATTTGCTTAGGGCTGCACTGGTGTTTATTGCCAATCACGCTCAGCACCTACTATAAGAACATGGAGGCTCTCTGAGGCCTGTTCTGCAGAAAGTGAAGGAACTGAACTCTGTGTGCCTTAAAGCTGATCAGAACGGCTCTGTGATCAGGCTGAGTGAGGGAGCCGTTCACTCAATCTGTCGAGTAAGCCCTCAAACCGTCGCCTAAGAAACATTGTTAGTGGTAAAATTGCTTTAAGTTTACAGAGAAAAAGCATTGACATTATTGTCCACAATAATAGACTAAACGCTATAGATTCAGGTTAAAAATAGGTTAATACTTTTGCATTGTTTACAAATTCAGCCTTGTCCTCATCTGGCAGGCAAATGGCCTTTTCATCATATTGTCTTTAATAAGCTGTAATCTATTAGCATTAACTTGAATCCCATTTTGATTGGTTGTAAAGGTCTACCATGTGTGTTTCCCACCTATTTTCAGACATATCTATTGAGCACAGCCTTTTTATGAGCCTACATTGCTTTATATGCCTACATTTTGTATACCGTTTGCCCAATGGCATTTTATTTTTACTTAGCACTATCAACTATTGGTTTAGGCCACTATAAATACCTCAGCACTAAATTATCAACTGTTTTATAATGCTAAAGCTTCAGACTTCTATCATTCATTTTTATTTAAAATACTAAATGAATAGTTGTTAATGTTTATTAAAAAAAGCTATTTTAAAGGGCCCCAATAATGGAAAAAAAAATGAATTTTGCTTGCTTTTTTAAATTAAACATTTTGATGTAGTATGTTTCAAATGGTACCATTCACTGTCCAGTTCATACCATCCATATAAGGAAAGTAAACTGCACAAACAGCCCATTTGAATTCACTGTTTTTGTGATGTCACAAAAACGCGTGCATTTACATCTATCCGCCTACTCAGTATATTTTGAATAAGGAGCAAAACAGGGCAGCCAGTCAGAACAGAGCATATATCAGTCTTAAAAGCAGCCTGTTTAATTCTAAGAGAGAGAGTTTGGAAATGGTCGTGTAAGAATGGGTTATAAGTGCTTTTGGTAGATAAAACCAATAAAATGTTACAAGTGGGCCTTCAAAAAAATGTAATAATAAAAAACAAGAGAAATGTTGGATAGGGGTCTTTAATAGAAGTGAATTCATACATTTTGGGCCAGATTCCATGGGCATGATGAGGATGTGTCATATCTTTGTGAAAGTACTTGCAGATCACCGGTATGGGTGATATAACGACATGTATTTGGACATGTTGTGCAGTGATGGAAGCAGTGAAAAAGAAGTCCACATTGCTGATACATTTGTTTGTTCCTGGCTTTGCCACCCAGGCTGGAACGTGCTGTAAAAGCGGCAGCTGCAGTGGCTGTAATTAAGAAGATGAAGGTTAGCACTCACCCAGAGGAAGTCCAATTAGGCTGGCCCAAGATCCCTCCGTAATCCTGCCATGATCTAAAATTCTTCCCACAGTTCAAGCTGCTCAGCTTACTTTTGCATCTTTACACCATTGTCTAAAGCATCTGTGGATTAATGCCCTGTACCATTTTGCTTTGTGTTTCAGATCTGATTATGGCAGCTCCAAAATTGTCAGGTATGTAACATTTTCGGTCCTTTTTTTAATCCTAAACTGTGCATGCTTGCTTGCTGTTAATGCCAGAATCCTGTAGTCATTTTAATTTACTTTTATTTGTTTATTTAACCCGGGAATACACATTAATCAGCATCATTATTTCATAATGAAAAGATGCCAGATGGCTAATTGTCATCTGCAGTCCCTGGGTGGCTTGATGTTTGAACAATAAAAGTAAACAATGCTTATCACATAGGCAAAAACAAAAATAACAAGGCAATATTAAAACGTGCTTAGTTATAAAACACATGAAGCCCATCACCCGCCGATAGGCCCAAAGTTTTATTACACACTTCTACAACCAGAGAATAGCTCAACCCATTTGCACTGAAGTCCCTGTAGTTACTGAACAATAGGGGTGCGGGAAAAAATTCGTAGATTCTTAGATGCATCGCGATGCGGACGTGAACGATTCTGAATCGATTTACAAATGTCAAAAATCGATTTTCTAAATATTTAATTAATAACGTAATGTTGGTGGAACGCAAAAGGGGGAACTTGGAAGTGCGGAAGTGCAACGCCCGGACAGTCTGTGGCGGCACATAACACACACGGATGAGCGAGAAATCCGACCGGCACCCTCTGCATTAAAGGCTGGGTTAGGTCAGGAGTCACAACCCAAATGTTAAGAAGAGCCATTTTGTCCTTTCAACAAAAATCAGACCACCTTGGCAGCCACAACATTTATGTCCAGTATGTCTCAGTATGTGCGAATGTCCTAGTATAAGTTAGGTAAACGAAAATGCGGACTTGCTCTGTTCTGCTTTAAGCTTTAGCTATAGCCGCTTTCCTCCAATTTCCGCCAGAAAACTTTTCTTCAGAAGTAGATCAGTTTCTCGTAAAATGTCTTTCAACGTTCAACTGTTTTCCGAGGCTGAAGTCACTTCTCATTCTCCAGCTTCTTGTTCGAATTTCCCCGTTCCACCTTAAATTGTGACTGAGGCGCCGAATGTAAATGCGGCACCATTTAACGTGGAGTGGGAGGATTCCAAAGAGAAGCGACTATTTTTAACCCTTTGTTTATAATATGAAGGCTAAAAGCAGACATATAACAGTAGCAGATGGGTTTTGGGTGATTTTGGTGCTGGATTGCTGGCCAAAAAGCGGAGCAATAATATCAAGATTGTTGGTGATTTTTCAAGCCAAATTACTCACGGATGCTGACGTCACACAGCTCAATGATGTCATGCTAGCTAGTTAGAGCCGGGTCTGCCAAATGGTCTGATATGTGGAAGTTATGAAGGCAAGAAGTTACCTACAGTTTTGCAGGCTTTGGGTCTTATAGGTTAACAGAAAGTACGTGATACTTTTATACTTTCATACTTTTATCATCACTGCTGCCATTTCTGCGATGGACAGAACAGTGTAAAACAGTGATGTAATTTTGACAGGGTTAACAGGGTTTTGGTGGGATACCTAGTAAGAGTAAGCTGGACCTATATCTAACAAGCTAACAGGCTCCAATAATATTCAGGGGCATACTTTGGGTTTAATTCTTTACTGAACTAGTCAACATCCAGAGTAAAGCAAGTGTTACTTAAGTGCATGTTACAAGCTTCAAACATCTGTGTTGAATCACATGAACCAACAATCCAGTACTGGGCCAAAAAAACAGGAAGTTATTCATTTAAATCTGCTGCCAAAAGAGTTTGCACCTCCCTGTTTGCAAGAGTAAAATCACTTCATCAATCTCCGTGTGTAGAATCTGAGCTTTCTTTGTGCCCCGTTTTCTTAACTAACTAGAGCTGCAGCATTGCTCTAACTCAGTGTGGCGCTGTAGCAATTAGTTCACCCAGTAGGTTCTTCATAGCATAACAACTGTTACTGTAAATCTAAAAACTTGCCCAATTTTCCCAAGAGTTTGTTGAAAAGAGTGAACTGTGTCAAAAAGAGATGTGTCAGATCTCAATTAATGTGAGGAAGACCTCATTACCAAACTAGAGAAGATTATTTTCAACAGAAGAATAAACCAAACATTTTATTGCCACTAAAGCTAGACTATGACGATTGAGTTGCAGTCATTCAACGCTGGAGTAGCCAGCCAACATGGGACCCTGAAATGCCAGGGGGTATTTCGCACACTGGATATAATGCAACTGATGTGTGACGTACATTCCTATTAATGTATTTTCTTGTTTGAAAATGTAGTTTATAACACAAACAATAAAAATTGTTAACTCAGTTTCAGCTTTGTTACATTAAGTTCTATATGTATCAAAAAAAACACAACAACAGCATCATTAGCAGAAATAGGTAAATAAAATGGCCACTTTTATGTTGCCCTTAAAGCTATAAAAGCTGTAAAATGTACATATTTACCACCGTTAACTTGGTGCTAACATTGCATTGAAAACCCCAATTGCATGCTAGTGGAAAAAAGCATCGAAACATACTTACACAGTGAATTATACGGTTTCTGCATTAAACATTGCTATATATTGATAGCTATTCTTTAATAACGTATCTTCATGTTGTCACCTAATAAGGTCAGCCTATAGCCCTTTATAATTTTGGGACAAGGTCTGTTTTTTCTTCCCACTGATAGAGTTCATAAACTTTAGCAGATACTGAAAATATTAAAACTAGTTGGAATACCCATTCCTACTATATACTCTGCTTTGCTACAGCTAATGTTGACCTCTTCAACCCCTTACACCCCCTACTCCATCTCCTCTACTGAGAGCCAGTGAGAGCAATGCTTATTGGCATACAACATCAAAACCTAGAAAATGACTTTGAAAATGCAGGGTAAAACCCATCACATAAAGACTGATTAAGCAGTTATTTGTTTTTACTGTTCACAGATGTCTTTTACAGAGCACAGGGAACTATAGTATGTTCAAAAAAAGAATGAAATATATTTCCTTTAAGAGCTGCTTGCAGCACCATGACAACCCCTTCAACAAGCACAGCCATGCTCTGCTGTTGATTACTACCCAAACATGGCAAAAGCTCGTGAACTTCATTGAAATTGATCTTATTAGCTAAAAAAAAACCTGAGTTATTAATAATTTAGAGTCATTGAAGCAGAGATGCTATAAATAGTCTGTCTCCCTCAGGATCGCTTTGCTTTGATACAGTACACAGCAAAGGGGGGAAAAATAGGCCTGTCATGACAGCAGAATCTTTTCATTCGTATATGGAGGCTGATGGGAAAGGGCTAATCACATGCTTTGTTTAATTGCTTTGCACATTGTCACATTAGGACAGATGAGTTCACTCAGTAATGATTATAGCTGAAGTCTGAGACTCGTGCAAAGCATGACGTTTGATTCAGTGCTGGCACATCATTTTAAATTCATTTTTTAGAAACTCCTAATTAGGCAATGCACTGTGGGATTCTTTACAGAAATGTAAAATATGGTTTTCAGTTTGGTTACAGAGCGAGTGGCAGCACATGGACTAATATAGCTTATACTCACTAGCCACTTTATTAGGTTAGTCTTTGGGCCTCTAGGCAATGTGCTGTAACACTGAGGCCTGTAGTCAGTGAAACAGTACTGTGGAAAAAAGAGCATAGAAAAGCATTTGGTCAACCCATGTAATAGGATAAGAAGTTAAGGTAATACATTTTGTTGATGTGACATTTAAACAATTAAAATATTAAAATAAATATGAAAATGATTGGGTTAAAAAAATCTGCCCAGTAGTTAAGTTTGCCTAAACCAGGGGTCGTCAACCCAAATGTTAAGAAGAGCCATTGTGTCAAGTTTCAACAAAAATCCGACCACCTTGTGAGCCACAACATTTCATATCTATTTTATTAAAGTAACATTTCACCGTCTTGGCTGCAAATATGTCTCAGCATGTCCTAATGTTCTAGTATAGGCTAAAAAAATATTATATAAATGAAAACACAGACTTACTTTGCTGTGCTTTAAGCTTTAGCTCAGCGATAGCTGCTTTTCTCACATCTCTGGCAGGAATTGTTTCCTCAAAAGTAAATCTTTCTCTTTGCTTTTTCGTTAGCTACTACCTAGGCTGGATTGTTGTCTGTGTTGCTATGTGACCAGCACTCTGCATGCCAACCTTCAGGGTTAAAGGATGAATAGGCAGTTATACATTAACTCCAGCATTTAAAACCATTTATTGTTAAAAAGTTTTATTTTACTGCAAAGGAGAACTATTTTATTTTTGCCTAAAAATCCAGTGCTGCTTTGGAGCTGCAACAGGGCAGTAAAAGAGCTCTGGAGCCACATATTTTCAAAACTGTCTGAAGCTCTTCAGTGCAAGGAAACAACATTTTTGTCTGTGATGATCAAGCATGTTACAGATACAGCAGATATTAGTTTGAAAAAATGGAATGTTCCTTTTAGTGAAAAAGGAGCTGACTCAGTCGGTCACTTGGGACTACCACTGGGAATTTAGCCCAAGGACAGACAATCTGAGTTAATTTCACTTTCTGTGAAGGTCAACACATTTGGACAGGGTTGTGATCAAGGGTCTGTCACGTAAGACAAATCACAGCTTTTCACCTGCCGTAATGGGGCCTCATATGGAGAGGGTCTTGTGTGAGAGTGCTGGGGGAAGAGGGAGAGAGTGATGTATGGGGCTGTCCACCCGGTAGGGCAAAGGTGAGTGACATCAATAAAAAAGACAACATACAGATTTGTATTTTGTTGGACGTCATCTTTCAGATCTGTGAGTTCAGACAGCGTTCAGGCTTCAACATTCATTCATTCCTGCTTTATTTTTGACTTTGTACCTCTATTACAAAGGCTATGCTCACTGGAAATGGGTGGCTCAATAGCTGGTTAGGCATTGCTAATTAGATCTGTGGCTAACTACCTAACAGATTTAAGGCCCCATTTGTGTAATGTCACCTGGCAATGTGAATTGTTCCTTTAGGAATGATATATTTAATCAAAAAATGAATTATTTTGCTGTTACTCTTAAGGCATTGCAGCATATTCTGTACAGAAGCTAATACCTAATGCATAACACAACATACACCCTGGTGG